GAGAAATTAATTTGAAAAATTACCTTGACGTTTCGATAGCTATTTTCTGCTATCGTTATCAAAAGAACCTAAATGAACCTAAAAAAGTGTTTGTTGTGCAAATTGTCAGTTATTATTATAACTGACAATTTGCACAAACGAATTATCAAAGCGAATTTTGATATATTATATTATCCTACTCTAAACTCTTTTTTATGATGACAGGTATTCAAAGAGCGAATTTCAAAAGTTTGTAAGTGATTTTGGCTTAATTAATCTATGGATTGCATTTGAAGTGTTCTTTATTTTTTTTTTACTTCTATTTCTTATTGTACCTTTTTGCTTTTACATATCACCCAGTATTCGAATTCGGAAGATAAAATCATTTATAAACTTTCTCGCATTAAAACACGATTTTTTTTTGTATAATTGGCACTTTATTCAGGTTGTAGAAATATGTTTATAAAATACTAAAGTAGTCAAATGCATCATCAACGGGATTATGGTAGAATATTTAATTAGGCACAAAATCACAACTTGTAGCGTTAATAGGAACAGACTTGAATATACAATAGCTTGGTGGACCATGGAGAAGGCACCCGGCAAGGCTCATACTTTCTATATAATAGGATTTCCCGATTTTCTTAGTGAACCATTTAGTTCTTTGCCACATTGAAGCATGCGTGAGAACAAAATAACTTGTCGTTACGCAGCAATAGCTTCTTTCCCATCAAGGGTACCTTGCATACGATGCAACTGAAGCAGCGGTCCTCTGCATGAAAATGCACTCCATTCAATTGACACCCTCTTTCGTCTGGTTTGATTATTTTTTCGCAGGCATTGCACGTGGCCGCTTTTGACGTTTCATAGCAGGGCAGACAGTAAGGTTTCTCTTCCTCTATTGTGTAATCCTGGCCAGCCAAGGGCACGTCGCATTGGAAGCAACAGAAATGCTTCAAGTGGAACGTGGCATCTTCGGCCAGACAATATTCCTTAGTGAATATGAGTTCGTCGCACGCTGAGCACCTGGGGTAGCCCTTGATCTTCGCGTAATCCCTTCCACAATAGACGTTGTCTGTTTCCTTGTGATAGAAATAGATGTTGTCTGCCAGGTTCTGATTGCATCCGGCACATCTGAAGCATTGAGCATGGAAGAGGGCACTAGCCCTATCGATGGTAATGGCAAATTCGCTTTCCTGGAAGGGCTTTTTGCAGTAATGGCAATCGGGCAACTTAATATCTCCCAAAATGTCCTTAATGTTCTCAGGACTGAAATCGGAGCAGCTGTCGCTATACACGCTATCCCGATCGAACCCTGGGTTCAGTTCCGTAGTCGCAGCCTTAATTTCGGGATTAATGTCCTGGATCGGGCCCACGTTCACCATATATGGTTCTAAATGGTCTTCACGCACGATCAGCTGCCGGGGCTCCAGCAAATGTAAGGGGCCCCGCATCTTATTTGAATTAGACTCGGCCTGTTTCAAGATATTTGTATGCGGACTATCAGAAGCCATATTTCTTTGAGCATAGCTGCCTTCTTCAGGCTCCGGCCTTATGGATGGAATGATCCAAGAGCTTTCTGGGTTTGGATATCCAGCTTCTGGAGCAAAATTAGGAACGTTGCCTCCAAGATTTGTGGCACGTGAAAGGTTTTCTTGCCCAGGCCTCTGTCCCATTCCGTCATCCGGATATCCGTAACATTCAGGGCTGAATTTTTCCGCCCTGGTCTCAAATTGGGGTAATTTTTTTCCAATGCTTCGATTAGCGTTGTTCTCGTCTATTAGGTGGGTGTGCAGGTCTCCTGATTGAGGGTATCTAAAATCTTCGTGGGCCGATTTTTCAACTAACGGATCATATTTAGGTATAATGTGCCTGTTGTCTGAGGAGCGATCAGCTTGTTTGTGCTTATGCAATACATCGTTGTAATCTTTCCGATCTTTATCGACCTGGCTCTGAGTTGCGGGTCTTTTGGTGGCATCGTACGTGCTGTACATCAAGTCTTTAACAGTTTTAGGTAATTGTGGGTCTTGCGTCTCAGACTGAATGTGATACTTGAATGGACTATATTCAGGTAACTGTTTCTGGTTGAAATAAGGGTTCTCAAAACCGTACTGGTCATGGCTTTTGCGGTTAACAGATGGATGGGTTAAACTGTTATAGCCAGGAATATGTGGAGCATCTTTATTGAGCTCAATTTCTTGATCTCTCGATCTATGACCTGGGGAGCAGTTTTTTACAAACTGACCGGGAGTTAAAGCCGGATTGAACTTTGTTCCTTGCATCATCTTGTCGTCTACTGAACAGTCTAGACAAGGCACAGTCCCAGTGGATTTTAGTGCTTCTGGGAATTGAGCATTCAAAGCTCTTGCAGCACTAGAGGTTGAGTACCAAGGATGGGTAATGTCCTTGAATTTCGAAGCCGGTGAACTGGCGTTCAGGCTTTCGTTCCCAATGATGGGCGTCGACTTGACTGGCTGCATATTAGGCAGTTTCGATTGGTTCTTTGGGGTTCTGGATCGGTCAAGAGCTAGATTTTCCAGACTTTGTGCCAAATCCGCCTGGACTTTCACGATTTCACTTAAGGGTACTCCTTGCGAGTAGCGGCTGGCGATTATATGGGCCTCTTGAGGGCTGATGTTGTGTATATTCGCTGAAGTAAAAATATTTAAAGTCATAAGGATTAAAACAAGACAGAGCAAGTATATGCGAGTAGAAGAGAAACAACGCTTTGAGTTTGCTTACCATTAATCACGTTGGATAAACTAACTATTTGTCCTACTCCCACCGAACTGTTTTTGATGTGTCCGATATACTCCTCCATTTTGGCCACTTCTTCTTCGTTGAGTTCATGGCATAGGCTGGGGTCGATGTCGTGAATCGGAATCTGCTTCTGCAGGAGCTGCTTTCTTTGGTGGGCTGCTTGAGAACCTGGTGAATGGATTGTGGGTGTTAGTTTGTTCGACGTCGGAAATCTCGTTAACTGGCTGACCTTTAACTGGCAAAGCTTCCGTCGGCAGTGTTTGAAGATATTTGTCAATGGTGTCTTTCTGCCCTTTAGGGGCCCAGTCCAGCTCCACCTCGTCATTTCTCCCGGGAAGAACTGCAACAATGTAAGTAAGTGCAGTAGTAAGTTTTCGTAATATGTATGTTGCAATTACATACCAATTTTTGTTTTGATTTTATTCGGTTTACTGCCCAGTAATTGAAATTGCGCCCAGCCATAGATATCGTCATCAGGAACGTCGTGCTCTTCCTTGGGGCAGCGGCAAATCTTGCATGCCTTCCTCCAAAAGTGCAGGTCCAGCCCTACAATGGAAATGTTGGTCTCTTTCGCATACGTCTACGGTTTTCTGAAGTAATTACCCGGACATTTATCGCCGCATTTGAGGCAGGGAGCCCCGGCTCCAGCTTCGTGCCCCAATCTCACTTTGAGTCTTCGTTCCCGTTTCGCTTCCAAATCGTTCAGCCAGTTGGGCGTTTCTGGGACCTCGATTTCTCCACTCATCTCAAAATGCAACGTTAACACCCTGATAATGAGAATAACCGCTAAATCTTTGCGTTTGAGGACCCTGAATCTATAGGTAATACCCTGGACTCTTTCACAAACGCTCCGCGTAATCTCCTAGTGATTTTAATCATTCTTTTTCGAAAATTTCATAAAAGTTATACCGTAAAACAAACAGGTCATTTTTATTAAAAACAGAACTACATGTAGCATTAATAAATGTGCTTAATTAAGCCCAATGCAAAGAAAAAGCCATGAACACAGTCCGGTATTAAACGTTGCATTGTTCCTGTTGGGTATCATAAAGATGTATTTATTGTCACATTCTATCACATTCCAGGGAGCCAAACTTGCCGTGTGGTGGTGTGAAATTCAGCTTGATCCAATCTCCAAAAGTTTTTCTCCTTCAAAAAGCACCTGCCGAACGTTCATATTTATTCTGGAATGTGTCAAGTAACTTCCAAAGGGTTTCCACAAGTTTTCATCTTTGCATATATCGACAGTTTCTTTGTAGTCTTTGGGCACGAGTTTGTCACTTCCTTGCTCCAGAGAGCACCACATTCTGTTATCGACTTGAAGGATTTTGGGGATCCCGTGGTAGCATAGCCTGGATTCTTTGCTCATCACCACAATATCTCCACTGCGGATAAAGAGTGGTATTGCAATATCTTGCAAAGTAGGGCCGCCAATTAAGAAAATAGCTGTTTGCCCGAAACTAAACGAGAACAGTGGAGCCGCCAGATTCCTTTCGGAGTGATCAGTATGACCGGATAGGGTAGAATCCATGTGATAGTAGTTGATGATGGCAGCTTCTGCGGAATATCTGCTGTAGCCCAAAGTAGTAGCAAGAAAAGATGTCATCTCTTGAAGATCTTTGGGAAATTTGCCTCTGTTGCTCTCCGAGTAGACTTTAGTGTCCCAGTTGTGATGATATCCCAGTGTGACCCATCTGAGCTTGTTCAGTAAAAGAACATTATTATTTTGGCACATCTCCCACCAGTCTTTGTTATCAGGTACCTTCTTGGCTGAATCTAGATTGGACTTGTTTGGCTTGTTCGAAAAGTCTTTGAGGCACCTTACAGTCCAATATCTCTGACCCAGAATGGTAAATGGGTTTTTGATAAATATTAGTCCAGGGCGGTCAATAATTTCGTAGACTTCCCAACTCTCTAGAGGTTTAAATCCGAAGAAAACAGGAACATCCTGCACTGGCAGGGCCACTTTTTGCACCTTGTTCCGAGTGTTTGCGTCAACTGAATTAAAGTTAAGCACCCTACCTAGTTCGGGAGTAGGGTTTTTGGACTTGTAATACTTGAACTTGTCTTTGAACATGACTTCCGAATGCTTTGTTCTTACTTTCAACCACCTTATAGAAGTTTTACTGATAACTGTATACAAATACACTTCAAATGTGGCCGTAGGTAATATCCTAGGTTATGCTAGGATGGTGCAAAGAGAAAAACCATCGAGCTGTCTGTCATGTGCAAAACTTGTGATTTTAGTATCAAAACCGTAAAAACAAAAATTAAGTGCCTCGTATGTTTGTGTGTGTACGTGCCTTCTTTGGATAATCGAAAATATCTGCTCTTACCTTCACTATGTAATTATTATTGAGTTTGCTGGAAAACTTTTCATTTATTAGATACACCCACAAAACTTTCTGCAACAGGTCGTTGTCTGACGATGAAACGATGACAAATCTGTGAGTCACCAAATCAAACACAGACAAAACAATAATAACCCTGAAGTATGGAATCGGTGAAGAAGAAGAGTTTGTAATGACTCTTTCACATTTTAAATAGATTTTTAGTATCTACAGGGTGAATTTTTTCGATGACTCGTACAGGGATCTTGCAAACTGCAGCAGACATGAAAGAAGGTAAATGTACAAAGAATTGCATGAAATGTTTTCTAGCATGATACTATGGACAATCTGCATTTTTATTTTCTTGAATGTGCTTTATTTTAAGTGTACTTTAAGGGAAAATTCAAAAGAACTGCGAAATCCGCCAGATATAATAAAGTGTAGTTGAAGTCTTACAATGGCGAAGACATTACTCATTACAGCTTAATTAATATTATTACTTTACCTTTGGTGGCTGTGTAAAGCTTCCATATAAGTGCCCAAATCAAATTGTCGTATAATCTTTTGAGTGTTTTGAAGGACAGCTGACTACGGTCAAAATACCTCCCAAAATAGTAATCAAAGGCTGGTCCAGCATTTCTATCACATCTAATGTAGGTTTCAATCATGTCACGCTTTTCTTCATTGGAATAATCCATTTTTACCATAAAACTAACTCACATTTCTAACTAACTTGAATTTAAACGTGAATGTCAAATAATTGAAAGCTGTGGTTATTATTTGTTACTATGGAAACACTGCTGTCTGCTGTCTGCCTTAAACTATTTTCCATGGCTAACTTCGATCAACTAAATTGAGAAAGTAAAAATCATTCGCAGACACTTTATTTTCGAAAAAACTCAACGATGTGATATATCACTGGTTAGTTATGGTTATCACACAAATATTGTGGCTCGAATGGTTCTTGAGAAACTTCTAAAAAAGCAGCGTCATGTTCAAGTGGATTTTGCAACTCAGAAAAAAACCACGCAAATCTGAAACTTCTTGAATTCAAGCATTTTTAGAGACAACTGCCAACATTTCCTTATCGATGGTTCACTTGCTAAAAGGGCCATTTATTTCTCTCTAGAATGATGTACAAATGAGCGTTCTTGCTCATTTTGCCTCCGAGAAATGAGCAAAAAACGAAAAACATGAAATTTTGGCATAATCTTTCACCTAAGTGTGTGATATTCAAATTTGGCTTTCTGGGTCAAAACTATTCGAATTTGCTCACTC